ATATATATATATATATATATATATACACACACACACACACAATACAAATATATAATTTACAAAAATTCTGTGTCTCCTGGGGGCTAAGCCCCCCTTGTCCTTAAAACCTAGTGACACCCCTGGGGAGGAGTGAACTCTCACGTCAGGTGCATGGTCTCATAAACTCTGAGAGCCCCCATAAACAGACAYTTATTAGACATTTAGAATAAATTGTGCGGGCTGGAATAGACTTGGGTAACAATGTTACCAGGGCCATGTGTAATTTATATGTGTAATATGTAAATACTGCAAACTGTAAATTTCATAAGCTGTGTGCGGGTGACTGCAGTTATTTTATAAAGCCAGAGGAAGACATACAGAATAAATTGCGCTGGCTTGGATAGAGGAGATGGGAAGTAATTTTACAGCTTAACAGCTGTTGTTGTGTTGTTTTCACAATCTATGGTTAAGGTCAGTTTGTAACTTTTATATGTATGTAAATTTCATAAAATTACATACGTTTCGTAAGCATGGGGTGGGGGAAATATGGTATCCATACAATATTATCATTTATCGCAATAATTTCTAAGACAATTTCTGAGAAAATTTATTGTCCAGCAACATGTTTTGTAGAAATAGATTGAGTAACGTTTCACTCAGTGAAGTCTTTTTGCATTAGATTTATAGGAAAACTCAGTGGAAAGTTGTTCTGTCATGATCTGTGAGAGAGATGAGGGTTTTGTTCATGTTTTTTTTTGTTCTACATACCTTTTCTCCAGGTTTTCCATCTTTTCCAGGCCTGCCTGGAATTCCTTCATGYCCCTGAAGGTGATATAAAAAGTAAATGCGATTCAGTAACATTTGAAATAAAATGTGTTTGTCAGAACATAACAAATCTCTCTGGATTTGAATCTGATCAAAACTGACAACATGCAAATCTGACAAAAAGTTTTCATTTATGCATGTGCCTGTGATGCAAATGGTAGGACAGTCATCTTGGACCAGAACAGGTTCAATCCTCCACCAAGCCAACATGCTGTGGTGTCCGTTAGCAAGGCACCTGGTCCGTAAGCACCCAGGGTGTGTCTCATGTGTGATGGGTCAAATGCAGAGCACAGATTTCATCATTGCATGGGATTATGTATTGATGACAATACATAGCACATTATCACAACATAGACTGCATACGCTTGTCATCAATACAATTAAAGCTTTTGCATTGATCTTACTAATAGCACAAAATGGTGCTCTATTCACTTTCTAAAATATGCCAACTCAGGTGTAAGATGTGGACTTTGTGGTTACTTTTTTAACTTGAAAGTACCTTTGTTGTAACAAATTTTGAAAAGTTTGATTTTTTTTTAGAGAATTCACTATGGTTTAGAACAGAGATTCTTAACCTATGGGCCGCGGCCCACCTTGAGGGCCTCAAAAGAACAAAAGTTTTTAACTTTGGGCCACAGAGGGCCGTGGGACCGCATTGATTTTGAATAAGGTGTAATACACTTTGTCACCACTAGTAGCAGTAGTGCACCACTCAGTTGTTTAATAATGTTTTTAATATGTAGAAGAAGAACCTTAGAAACCTGTCAAGAATAGAAACCTATTTTAAATGAACAGTAGAAGCCAAAAATGAAGGTAACCCATCAAAAAACACCAAAGTTTGTCACTAATATGAAGAGCAGCTTCTGTTTTTACC